TAAGTAGCATTTTTTTAATTTCTTGCCAATTTCCATGTAGAAGTTTCATTACCCTTTTCATTTACAATTTTCATGTAGTTGTTAATTTGTCGATTTTTACGAATTCATAATTGCTGTAATTAGTAACTATCGCTAGGATCGATAAACACGTTTTTCTATACAAAATGTAATTGAGAAAAATTTTTCTTTTTGAATATTTATAAGCATTATGAATGCGCCGTTGTTAATAGAGTGAAAAATTTCGAATAAAATATTCGACTAAAAAGAATTCATTCGAATAAAATATTCGACTAAGAAGAATTTATTCGACTAAAATGTTCGACTAAAAAGAAGTCATTCGAGTAAAGAAAAGATTCGCCTAAAACCTATTTATTCGAATAAAATATTCGACTAAAAAGAATTCATTCGAATAAAGTATTCGACTAAGAAGAATTTATTCGAATAAAATATTTAACTAAGTAAAATACATTCGAATAATTATTTTAGATGAATAGTTATTAGAAACAATTCGAACAATGCCAAACGCTGGTGTGGATATGGTATATTGTGGCACTGAAATAAGCAAATGATAGTAATGCTTGATCCATATTGAAAGTGAGCGAGTATCGTCCATTCATCCATGCTCCCAAAGGTATCAATTGCATGATCTCGATAGCCTCTATCGTGTTACACACCCTCCGAAGACCCTTCTACGTGTTACTTGCTGTCAATTGTGCGTATACTAACATATCCAGGGCCGTTTCACAATTCATTACAAGACTAGTCAATGTTCTATAATCATACTTATTTCAACCAATAAGAAAATCGCAATTTGCTAAATTAATTTTAAAGAACGATAATAAAAGATCACAGCATTGGAGAAGTCGACATAAATAATATTTTTTTAGTTAGTTCTTGCGGCTATCTATATATAACTTTTACATGCAGAAACAACAATAAAAAGAGATAACCACTGGTCAAAGTTCGAAACGATTGTTGTTTCATGGCGAAATCATAGCTCTTTGCCTATAATTAAAGCTATCATCTTCCGTTTCCAGTCAATGACTACTTCGGTCTAATTATAGCGTAGTCGCTAATGGCATCGAACTTAAAAATATTTATTAAACTAATTTCACATTCGGTAATTAACGATGCATAAAAGTTAATTTTCCTACCAATTTTATGAGTACTAAAATGAGAGAAATATTTGCTAGATTGGTTAACAATTACATTCTTTATGTACTATAAATGAAATGAAACTATTAATTACAGCTATTAATTAGTTGCGTTTTCTTATATTTTAGAAATTAGCGTTCCTTATATTACGGATTCATTATAAATATTATCCTGTAATTAATTTAGTATCTATGGCACGTTTTTTGCAAAAATTATTTGTGTAAAATATACAAACTATACCAGTGATTTGTGTTGTCAATTTTAATTGGAAGATTGAATTAAAATTGATGGATAATTTAATACATGTGTATCTCAGACAATATGCTAAGTTTTCATTGTTTCAGTGCATTCGAATTGATATTCGTTTTTCTCGAGTCGGATGAAAATGTCGGATCGGCTGAAAAATCTCACGTGGATAATTAGTAGGTGCCCTCATAATAATCTGTCGTAAACGAAAAAGAGAAATGAGATTTCATAATGTCATTGTGTTATGTGGCACAGGCGAAAAGTGATTACGATGATATCCTTACGTTGCACTCGCGGTTGCGTCACGATTATTAGTGGTTAATTATTAATTGCAGAACAGCGTAAAAATTGAGGACACGGGCTGTGGGCATCCTCAACATCGGTATACTGATTATGCACGATAACTTATGTATGTTTTCAGAAGTAAAAGGACGCGTTTAAGTCACGAACATTTAAAAATGTTTCATCTAATTAGCATCACTGAGCCGAGATAGTTGAACGACATTGAAAATAATTTCAAAGAGTTTAGAATATCAAAATTTATTTTTCAAACAGTAACCTAAAATTCAATTTCACGTACTGCAATTATTCAATTAAAATTCATACTTATCTAATCGAACGTTGTTGGGAAAAAATTCTTAAACATCGTTGAAAATAATTTCAAAGAATTTAGAAAACAAGAATTTATTTTTCAAACAGTATTCTAAAACATACTTTCTACATTTTTTTACACGTCACGTAGTTTAGTATACTTCACTGACTAATCAGAGCGAACGCATTTCAGAAGCAAAACAATATTTCTTTGCTTTGTTCAAGGAGGAGGAAGTGACACAGTTTTCTCTATCTAATTAAGTTTTTCTGGCGTCGATTAACTGTAGTGGTACGTAGTAATTCAGTTCTTTGAACCACGTCAATTTTCGTCGAATGACAAACAATGTTAGAAAGCTCAATTGCAATCATAGAAAAATCAGCATCGTTACTCCAATAACATCGTTTCATAGAATCATTCATTTTCTCGTCTTCATTCAATGCCTTAACTAAGAGTATTGTATGATCTGTAATATCCTGTTTGTAATTGACGCAACTCTAATCGAGTGATATTACTGTTTCATCGATCTGGAAGTTACAACGATCAATCAGGAAAACTTTGTTTCCTATCGACTGCAATGATAGCGAAGTTTTCTACTTTTCTATGCGACTTTTAGTCATTGAAATTATCAATGGAATCATATTGCAATTATTGAAATTATATTAGAACTAATGGAATTGTAGTATCGTGTTCGAACCATTGAATTCACATGGGAACCAGTCGAATTATATTAGAACCTATCCTGGAATAATAACAGATTTCATTGTAATAGAATTTTAATGGAAATTTCATTTATGACAGAATTTTAATATAAATATAAATTATGATGGATTGTTAGTAAAGCTTCGGGTCGTAATCAATTATAAATAGAGATTTAAATTGTAATAGATTTCTAATAGAAATAGAAATTACGATAGATAAATTTGCTCAAGTTTGCTCCAACCAAATCAACAAAAACTTCTGAAAGACAAATATAACTCGAAGAAACGCATTCGCGAAAAGATTGCTAGATTGCATTTCGATCGTCCGCCACCGACACGGGCCAGCAGCGTGACAACTTTTAATTGCTCCCGCGGAAGTTCGCGAAATCCAACACCAACAGAAACTGGCGGAGCCGCGTTCCCCATGATAGACGCGCGTTGCTAGTCACTGTCAAATAGCCCCTAAACTTCCGAAAAATCGACCACTTCCCGAAAGTTTTTCGACGCTGAAGAAGCCGTAAAACTTGCCAAACTTCTGACTGACTGATACTCACGGTTTCCACGAAGCTGTCCCAGCCGGCGATCTTCCTCGTTACGGTCACGTTTTCGTTACCAGTTCACCGGAATATACTGTCCCCCTTTTCCCCCGTGAAATTAGAACACTTCGATGCTCATACTGTCAGTTTACTTGGTCTCTGTAACGGATTACTCTCGGACATCACTGCGTAACAAATTGTCCCCGTACTTTCACTGGTTACATGTCACTTCGTTCGAAAGTCACGATCTTTCATTGTTCCACTGGCGGCTTGCTGGAAAAACGACCGGCACCGAAAGTAGGATCTCGAACGAAGAATGATCTTTAATTGACGGTATGCGCGTATGTGTGTGAGTGTGTGAATGATTTGTCAGGTGCTCGATGCGGTGCTCGAGGGACCCGAGGATTTCATTAGGCTTCGACGCGCGGACTGTCAGCGCGTTACTGATAAACCGAGAAGCACACGAACCGTGCTCACCTGACCAGGTGAGCTGCCGGCGTTAAACGGAGCATCGCTCGCACCGATAATCCCGATTTGCCCGCCGTAATTGATCACTATTCGCACTTTGTTTACGAAGTACTTTTGGTTTTATATTCTACGGAGCTTCAAATTCGATTAGCAATGTCGCAAATGCTCGTTCGTGGCTTTTTACTGTTCAGTATGATTTTATTGATTACTCCTTTTTTCGTGTAGCGAGTTGCTTTATTTAAAGCATGTGTTTGTACTTTTAACAACTGAAGAATATGTGAGTAAATATCAGTTTAAAAAAAAACATCTGACTATACACTTTCGAAAATCAAAGATGATGTTTCGTGCATATGTACGTTTTACGAAGCCCAAATGCACGCGTGAAACGTGAACGTTGAAAATCGCTCGACATTGCTGTTTGCGAATCGATGATTTTGAACGATAACGGAAGAATCAGAATAATTCGATCAGATCTCAAGCTAATTAATTAATTTGCTCTTACGTTTTTCACAAGTAATGAGCACGTGAAACATGAATCTAGAGGACCACCTAACTTCGCTCGTTTGTACTAGCTGAAGAATGAAAAATATTGAACCTTTGCAGTACAACAAAATAATCACTCGAAACACGTATTTAAAAGAACACGACTTTTTATATAATATCGATTTAAATGATGTGCTCAAGTATTGAAATTGATTCAGCCAAACCTGGAGCAAAATTAATTCGCTCCCAATGAATTTGCTACAAATGAATTTAATCCATGAGCCAAAGAATTTAAGAAATTGGCCCAAATGTCTAGCAAAATTAACGTGCTCTTATACTTTTCACAGTGAACAAGCACATGAAACACACATTTAAAAAAAGAAGAAACGCCTAACTTTGCTCTTCTGTACATCAGTGGAGCAAAGCGCTAACTAAAGAATTCAAAAAATTCATCCAAATCTGAAATAAAATTAATTTGCTTTCATAAATCATAGATCGAAAGAATTCGCTAAAGAATTTAAAAGATGAACCAAATCAGAAACGAAACTACTACGCTCTCATACTTCTCGCAACGAATGAGCACTTGCAACATGAATTTGGAAAACCACCTGACCCTATTACCAAATTGCGATTGTATCGGCGATTTAAAAAATGTAAAATAATTTCAGAGATCGTGTCACGAATAGATCTGGCCGAAAAAGAACGTACTGTTCGAGATAGAAACGTTTGGAGCCGGTGCGCCGCCGGCTAGTAGTGTCGGATACGAGGTTTATCAAACGGCGGAGCGAGTCACCTGTTCAGGTGTGCTCACGACAGCGAACTGAAGGCAAGCAAAACCGAGATAGCCGCGCGGAGATCGGTGCCTGGTGTTCGTTCTGCGGCGTGAGCACTAACCGTACACAGAACACCACAAAACGTACGGTTGTTCGCAGTTAAATTCAGCCCATGGTGTTCCCCGAGGCGTGCACCGGCGGATTTCCCCTCTTCGTAGCGCTCGGACACCTGTGTTCGACGGTGACGGACCTGCATCGACAGTGGAGTCATTGTTGTTAGCAGAAAACGAATTTCTCGATTGGAAATTACGAAGAAGATACAAGCGAATTCGGAACTGTGAAAAGGTGACGGACTGTTGGTTTGCAATTTTACCATAGACGTTCTTCGTCTTGCTGTGTGTATAGAAAAATTAATGACTTTCAATTCGAGTGAAACGATAGAAAGTTGCTAATAACCTAGGCTAGCGATTGATGCGACTATAAATAATTAATGTAAAAGAATGAAATAATAGAGTTGAGGAATTAATTCGGATTGATATCTTGATAGGAAAGATTTGTATCATAGTCAATAGTAACGTTGAATTATATGTAACATGTTGACAAGAACAGATTGTAAAGTTAGCAGAGAATTTGTTTTATATTGCACACTTTTGGTACCTAGTGGATATTGAATGTCCTGCTTTCGAATTTCAATTGTGTAAAATGAATCATAAAGTTGAATTGTAGAGCACGTGAAATTGTTTGATATTTTCACGAAGAGAATTGCGCTGTCGTGTTTAAAACTTTATTAGTGAAAATAAAACATCAAATTAAAGTAAATATTACGTAGACATATTAATTTAAATTTCATGAAACAACGATAGTTATCTATGTTCCTCGTTTATATTTTGCAATAATAGGCATTACTTCTATTCATAAAAATTGGTCTAGATTCGTGAAATAGATTTGTCAGTATTACAAGAATAATAACATTGTTTACTTATATTACACGGGATCAATTAGCAGTAAATGGGAATCAAATTTTCAGAAATCAAAGTTTTTAGGTTGAATTAAAACTTGGAACAAAAAGTTCTTTGCAACTAAATAACATAGCAAATGTTTCAAGAACACTGAAATGTGCGCGAACTTAAATTGACGATCGTGCCCTCTTCTCTCACTTGTTGAAGTTATCAACTACGAACAAAACTTGCCGACAATTGCTTTCTCATAATTTGTAATAAAACGATATTATATAGCAATATTAGTGGCATAAACGTAAGTGAATAAAAACTAAATGAATAATAACGGAATAATAAGAAATAAATGGGAATGAAATAAAAGCATCAATTTAGCATCTCTAGATCTTGCAGTATAGCTGTTTTATCGACAGTGGTTATATTAATAATTGAAGAAGTGTGGAAGAAGACAAATGAGAGAGAGAGAGAGAGGATAAATTAATTTAATTCTAAAATTTAAATAAATAAAAACTCTAAGATTATTTATTTATCTGAATGTCGACCAAGATAGCACTGGAGGATTTTTAATTAACCTCAAGGATCTATTATTTCAACAATAATTAATGATTCAGAACAAAATCATACTTACATTTACTACAAGATTATAGTCACACATGATACAACCTTGCTCAAAAACATTTGTACTTCGGTTAGGAGTTATTTGAATAGATCGGACTTGCTAATGTGTGTGGAGTAGTGACAATAGAAAGTGCAATTTCTATAGTGAGTTCTAAATACTCTTTACCAAACTCTAGCCTTAAAAGTGCATCAACCGATTTGATAAGATTTTAAACTAATGTTTGCATTTAACATTTAAAGTGTAATAGTTTATTAGTATGCATTAGTATGAAAACTAATGTACTACAAATAAGTAACGTCTCATATTGTTGGACAAATGATTTTTGTTTAAACATGGACGACGTGCAACAGAAAAATGCACCATAAATAATGCGCAAAAAGAAATGCGCATATCTCCAATTACTCAATAATTTCAACCAATCAGAATCGTCGATTCTATGTGTTCAAAAACCTCTTCCTGGTCCATTAGTTTTTCTTAGTACATATCCTACAGTGACGACACGTAATGTGACGAGTTAATAGTAATTTGTTTCTCAATCGAATGAAATCAAATTTCATGACTCGGCGATGACAAATTACGAAACTGATTCGGATTGAAGAACGGACACGTCTGTCGGATTTCTTGTATTTTCTTCAAAAATACGTAAGTTGGAAATTCGTATATCTTTATGAAAGTATCAATTTACATAGAACGAAAGTATTAATCCTAATACAACACATAAGATAATAGGAATCAATAAAATCTGATTTTTAAATACTTTTACTTTATAAGTACTTAGAAAAAATTGAATGTTTTGTAAACATTATATATACATATTTATATTTATATTACATGTATACATGTGTGTATGTATATCATCTTTCCATTCCAATCTTTTTATCGTAAAATATTATTTTATTTACAGTGCTATCTTTTAAACGATTTCTACTTTTACTAATCAATTCTTGGGCCTTTAGAAAAACTTGTTCGACTGAAACGGAAGTTGCCATTATACATAAATGTCTTCAGACAAAAGTCAATTCGTGAAATATCAAACGAGTATCGATACTTTGGAAAAGTTTCAATGAAACTTCAATTCAATACAGTATTGGTTTTGGTATCATTTTAAGAAATCTCGATATCGAAAAGTGATTCTAATTGTATCTAAAATTTCTATATATATCGATATCTGCTATTAAGTACTTTGATATCGAATTGACTGAATATCATGAATATTTTCAATATCGATCCCATCAATAGGTACGAGCACTCCTCTGCACCTTTCTGCATTCCCACTCTGCTAGATCACGGTGGACAGTGTAAGAACTAAGAAGTGTCAACGGTGGTATTTACTGTACGCGCGCGTTCGTTGATAAGTTTTTGGTTATAAAGGCATTTATTCCATTTAAAAATGGGGAAAGGACGTAGACAGGTACGGAACACTTATTCATAAACGCAACGCCTGCTTTTATTTATTATAAAATAATAATACACGAAAGGTACAAATTTGAGAAATAAGATGGTGCGTATACTTCTTAGATCTGTTGGAAATGTATTCCAATCGTATTAGTTTCAATTACATATACATATACACTATAAGTCAATTTGGATAATAGTACATAAAATTATTATAATTTATACAGAACATAAATGCAGCATTTGAAAAATATTACAAAACTCAGGGAATTGTACCAGATAACCACTGGGACTTATTTATGACTAAGATGAAAAGGAAACTGCCAATATCTTTTAGGATTAATGGATCCAGAATAGAAGCTAAGAAATTACTTGAGATTCTTCAGAGGGATTTTTTGAATGTAATTCTAAATGTCAATCGTAAAAACAAAGAAAAAACAGAGACATTACGTTGTCTGCCATTTTATCCCGATTGCTTAGCTTGGCAGTTATATTGGACTGGGAGAAAGCTACATAAATTGTTAGTTACTGAAGAATTTTGTGGAAACGTCATACGACAAGAAGTGGCTACCATGATACCACCTTTATTATTAGATATGAAACCTTCACATAAGGTATAACTATACTCTGTAGCTACAATGTAGTTTTTATACAGATGCAAATTACAATCATTTAACATAGGTTTTAGATATGTGTGCTGGATTAAATACATTTCAGCTTATAGAAATGCTACATTCAGGTGAGGAGAATGGTCTGCCAGGTAGGTGAAAGTTTTTTAGTTAGGAGAAATTTAATTTTTTTATTTCTTTTATAGAAATTAATTTTTTTAAACATCTTACAGAGGGTTTTATAGTAACCAATAGTTTGAAGATTAGTCATTGTCACCGGATTATAGATCAATCGAAGTTCCGCAATAGCCCATGTACTTTAATAACAAATCACGATGCTTCTATTTTTCCTAATTTAATGCTGGCAAAATCAGATGATGCTAAAGAAGACTTAAAGTTAGTAGGATTTGTGGTACAAACCATGAATTGTTTATAGATCTAAATAATGTATGCATTTTATTACAGATTTGATAGAATACTTGCTGACGTACCCAGCAGTGAAGATGGTGCAATAAGGGGAAATTTTATTAAGTGGCGTAAGTGGAGTCCAGCTGATGGTAACGATCTTCATGAGTAAGTATCATTTACTGATGGACAGTATATAATTTTGTATTTAAAATAAACTGTGGGTCCACAGAGTTCAATATAGGATAGCGAGGAGAGGCTTGGTCCTATTAACAGTGGGTGGCAGAATGGTATATTCCACTCGCTCATTAAATCCAATTGAAAATGAAGCAGTTTTACATAGACTTCTCCTTGAGACTAAAGATTCTGTTCGTATAGTTGATGGCAGGGATTTGGTTCCTGGATTAGTATGTGATCCAGGTATATATGATATATCTTAAACATTGAATAAATCACACAATTTCTAACTTGCTCACCAATAGGTCTGTCACGTTGGTTTCTGGCATCGAAAGATTTAAAATATTATTTATCATGGGAACGGGATCTGCCCACAGAAGTGCAACCACACATGTTTCCACCAAAATCAAAGGATGCTGCCAAATTCCATTTTGAGCGATGGTAAATAAAAAATATTCTATGTTTTCTCATTAATGCTACTTTTACTTTCCAAATTGCTTAGTATGAGGATATTACCACATCACCAAGATACGAGTGGTTTCTTCATGGCCATTTTAGAAAAAGTAAAACCATTACCTTGGGAATCGAATCAGAATCAGTGTGAAGCTAAGGAAAACTCTGAAGAATTAAATCTGAATGAAGAGGCAGATCATCAAAAATTAAATCTGGATGAAGAGGCAGATTGTCAAGAATTAAATCTGGATGAA